GAATAGTCTCATCCGCGTAGTCTGTATGTTTGTTGTGTATAAGATAATAACAACATGTAGACATGCAGAGGCAAGTTGCGTAAACAAGAAGAGGTTCGTGCTGCATAGATTCCTCTATAGCCCAGGAGTGCCGCATAGTCCGCGTAGGCAGCACGATAGTAAAAGTTTGTTCCCGTAGTCTGTTCTGCAGGGAAAACAGCCATCCGCGTAGTTCGCGTAGGCAGTCAATCTTAGTATAAGGACTTTAACCTTGAAAAAACAATGCTCAAGTGCGTATCCTTCACTTCAGACTACCACACAGACGGATAAGGATGGAGACGACGACCTCTACAATCTTGATGTCTGGATCTCAGAATCTCCTGGGCTGCTGTTAAGGAATTTGAATTAAGTCAGCGTAGTAGGTATGCGCATACAATATATATATATATGAATCAACCAATATGGCTTCCCCACTGTAGCAACTTGAGCCCTAACCCCTATAGCCATTATGCTAACTGAGATAAGGTTCCTTAACAGCAACCCAGTCTCAAGTGCATCACCTAACGTGAAAGGTGTGCACGTCCCAAGTTTGCAGCACCTCCCCTCAATGGAGGATAGGGTTTCTATGTGCGATATATAGGGTTTAGGGTTCAGGGTTTGGGGGGTTCCCAAAATTAGGCATACTTTTTTGAGGGTCCCAATAATAAGCATTGTGGTATTTTGGGGTTACATTGGGGTCTTCCTAGTTATGGAAGCTACCAAGTTGGTAAAGCCACCAGAGAAAAAGGGAGCCCTCCTGTTTCAGGTTCTTGTCTGAAGAGTGGCCGCATCAGTCGAATTGGTAGTCAACCGTATGAGGAACCCTAAACCCTCAGCCCTAAACCCAAAGCCCTAAACCCAAAGCCCTAAACCCTCAGCCCTAAACCCCAAGCCCTAAACCCTAAGCCCTAAACCCTAAACCTAGGATCTAGGAAGGCCATACTTCTTGTGGTTTATGTTGGCCTCCCCCCCCCATGATTTTGTGGCAGAATAAGCTGTGTGAGTCTCCTCGAATCAGGTTGAGTTGGTCATTTATGGGCCTTTACACATAGGGACCCCCAAAAAGGTACCCCCTAATTTTGGGAAACCCTAATCCCTATAATTCCCTATATAAATCCAGTTTCCATTTCATTTTCCATTTTCTTTTCCATTTGATTCTCCATTATAGTAGGTACCCCTAATTTTGGGAAACCCCCATATACCCTAAATGCTCATCATTAAACACGGGTGGGGGATGCCGCCTGGGCCAGCTGAGATTTTGGCTGCAGCTAAACCTTGACTTCTGAGGTCAAGCCCGATGGCAAGCTGGGGCCTCATGCGTAGTTGTAGTAAGACTGGTATTTTAGGGTTTGGGGTGTAGGGTTTGGGGATTGGGGTTTAGGGACGGTTTAGGGTGTAGGCTTGTTCGCCAGAATTCTGGTGCATTGTCTTGGGTGATGGTCTACAAGGTTCTAGCATGCTTTATGCAGCATTACACAGCGAGGCCCTGCAGCTCCTTCTGCCAGTAGTTGAGGTCCCATGATTCAGGTCTGTAGGAGGAGCTTGCTTTAGACTGCTGTCGTTTTGTGCCGTGGCTTTTTGTGGGTTGTCCACTTTGCTTGGACCAGTGTCCATGCTTCTCCATGCCTCAAGCCTGCAACTGTGAGTTTACAAGCCCTCGACCCTGTAACAAACTGAAGCCTAAAATCCGAATTTTCAATCAGCCACTCAGAAGCCTACATCCTGAACCCTGCTCTTTGCCTTATAACCCCATTATATAGTAGTTTCCATGTTCTTTTCCATTACCCCTTATATAACCCCAATATACTATAGAAGTCTTAAGCCTTTAGACGACGGAGGTCTGAACTCCCATGGGTCAGGGCCTGGGCAGCCTGGCTCCCAGTGTTCACAGGAGAGTGCAAGAGTTCCTGCTCCATCCCAAATCCTGGCATTCAGTAGGACTAGGGTTACATATAGGGATTATACTACAGGGTTATATGGGGTATTATATAGGGGTTATATAAGGATACTGGAAAAGAAAATGGGAACTACGATGTTACTTATTCGCATCCCTGGCTAGGCTAGATTTGCTAGAGGGTATCCTTGGTCCCGGGATACGAGCAACAGAGAATGTTTGTTTACCAATGGCCGCACATCAAGCAACAGCTCGACTGAAGCCACAACCTTTCAAAGAACCCTCCGATGCATTTTCTTTGGGCGATCCATCCTAGGAATCTGCATCTTCATCAAGGGAAGCACCACCACAGGGGTAGGTTTGACAACGATTTTTGGTTTCTGGTACCCTCAATTCCTATACAAGCCTTGTAAGGCCACATGTTTTTGAGGGCCCCCAAACCTACCCTAGTTTGATTGCGCCTGGTCCCGCAGAAAGTCCCCACAATATGTCCATTTCCTCTTACTCAAGACCCTGCCACTGAAGCTGGGCAAATCGCAAAGACCTCTCCTGACATATATAGGAAATGTGTCCAACCTTGCTTTGTTAGCACTATTTCTGATGTTGCTGCTATTGTTTTTTGCTACGGTTGCTTTATTCGTATTATGATAATCGCCAGTACAGCCATCTACTATCATTGTTATTGCTAGTGGAATCCAGCCACCGGAATGACCTTGCTGAGACCTTGAGCGTTTGGCTGAGTGAGCCTGCTCGTGCGGTCCTGGCAGGCTCCACTGCCTGATTAAAGTAGTGCCTGAGCATTCAAAGTATGTCAAATAATGGCATTTTGCCAATCTCGTGTGAATTTGGGCAATTCTTTTACCTACTTTTGAGGACTAGTTAATAATTATTATGAATCGGAATAGTATTCGTAGGAATAACACTAGTAGCAGAGCAAGAGCAGGAGCAGTAGCAGTTGTGGTGGTGGTGGTGGTGGTGGTGGTGGTGGTGGTGGTGGTGGTGGTAAATTTTGGGGCAGCAGTATTAGTGATCACCATGGTAAAAGTAGTAAGAGCAGTAAAATAGTAGTTAGATTCGGCACCCTTCTTCACACCCACATTTAAGTGTCTAACGCCCGCTATAGGAACCCAATGCATTGGATTGTGTAGTTGATTGCAGGTGGGTGATGTTTAATACTAGGAGAAGCTGTTATGGAGGGTGTCCTTAAACCTGGGGGACCAAGGACAAATCGGAAGTGCAAAGGGAGCATAGGGGTTGTTCTCAACTGCAGGGAGCAATTTTGAAGAAGCTCTCATGTATAGATTTTGATTGGAGATACATAATAGTTGGAGGTGCATGGCAAATTTGCAGCATGTAAACGCTAGAGCACACCCGCCTCGGCTGTTGGGCTGCAGACCACAGAAAGAGAAGCCTTCCGAAGCATTGATACAGGGCTCCTTTTACCAGCACCTCCTGTGCATGGAAGAAAAGAGACGTTGCAGCACCGCTGCACTTGGCGGGTGGGGGTGCCTTGGTGGCAAGGGGGCACGGACGCTTTGTTCATGGCGCCATGGTTTGGTTGTTGGGGTTGCGGGCCTCAAACGGTTTTAGAGTTCCGGGATTGGGGTGTAGTAGGTACAAGTGGAACTTGGCACCCCGCAGGATCGAAGGTAGAGTAGGGATCTGGTATGAAGGTTATCCAGGGCTAGTTTCAGACGTTTCTGCTCGCGGGCTGAACCAAACTCTTAGACTCCACAGCGTTGCTTGGCTTGGGCGTTCAAGATTAGGCTGACCTCTGGTGACCACGGCGTTTTCTGAGCAGTCTTTTCAAGCTGCAAGCCCACACAAAACTCTTAGGTGCACAAATCCCGCAAACTGCTCGCCGCACGGTTAAGTTGAATCTGAAGAAGCTCCAGGCCCGCTTTGCGCCCCAATCTACTCATCCTCTAGCTACCAAGGTGCATTGATCCTTATGTATCCTCATGGTATGTAATGTTCTACAGATGCCCCACTAGTTACAAGTTATGCAGTTCGGCAAGGAACAGGTGGCCCCCCCGAGCAGACTGACGAGAGGCGGCCTGCACACAAGGTGCGCCTTAGAGGAGGAGGGCACTTCCTTGGTCCTTGTGAACGCATTGGGGGACAACCGGGTGCCCTGCCTTGTTCAACTCACACTTATGAGGCCTTGAGGTCCGACCCCAAATGCCATTACAGCTTTCGACAAGAACAGCACTTCTTGTAGTGAAAGTCTCTTTTTCCAGAGCATTTCCATTCAAACCCCAACGTTTAAAAGAGTGCTTGGCTTTATGAGGCTTATGTCAAGGCTCGTAATTTCCTATTCGAATAGGCTTTAGGGCATATTTTTCAAGTTATGGTCCCTCTTGAGGGTGCAATTTCTACTAGTGGCCGCAATCTAGTCTGGACTCGAATATGCACTATGTCTTGACAAGCTTCCATACCTTCGTTAAGAGCGCTTCGTGGCTGCAGCCATGCCTCAATCTAGATTCC